AAAAGAAAGTCGTACTATGGTCGAGTTTGAGTAGAGACATTGCCTTTTTGAGGGGCTTGATGTGATGGAGGTATTAGCTCTGAGCCACGTGTTTGGCTCATGGTAGAAGGAACACAATTGCTGGGCGAGAATAGTGTTATTTGCCTTTGTGCAAGTGCACTTTATGAGTGATCTAGTGTTGTTGAGCGAGGAATAGATGCGGTTGGAGGCCTCAGGGTCAGAGTGACCTTCTTGAAATGCGTGAGACTGTTCTCGGCTAGATATTCCATCATGCTGGTAGCACCGCGCTTGTCCGCACTCTTATCATCCTCCTCAACATCTTGTCCGGAGTATTACGACGAGACAGAGGGAATTTCCCTGATATTTTAGCAATTTTTCCGGGACTGATAGGACCACTTACTGCAGAGTTATGACTTTAGTTATTTCGCCAGCCAGCGGGCCGCAGAGGGCCGGATTCCGCGCCTCGGTTCCGCGCCTCTGCGTCCCGTTTAGGCAGGTAGTTTTCTAACTGTATAGTAGACCGGTAAGCGCCGGAGCGCGTCCTTTTAACTTGTGGGAAGTGTCCTTGTCTCTTTATCATTGACAGTGACGCTTCTCACAGGTGAGTCTTACTATAGATTTCGTCTCTTTCTTTTTCTATTACTTTGTGAGGGCAATATCATTGACAGTGACGCTTCTCACAGTTGTTCTTCGAGTGCTCGATTATCTGCGCCTCACACATCTTCTTCCAGTGACCTCTGCTGCTGCTTTGCTACTTGCCTCTCTCTCTCTTTTTCCCTTCTCTTCTCCTTCTTCTGCTCATTCCTCTCCATCAACTCCATTCGCTTCCTCACCCAGATCTTCTCTACAACCTCCCAGAGTGAAAATCCAGAAGCTTCCCAGTACCTCCATCCCACAAGTCACCTCTTCTGTTCGTCCTTTGAGGTGAGTAGATGAAATTTACTGGTAATTACGTCGATATATATGTCTTCAAAAGAAACTGACTACTGTGAATACAGAGCAAGTTGGCATGTCGTGCACTTTGTAGATGAACTTTGTGTACCCGGGCAGTAATCTCCTGAACGACATCCTTTTGGTTGAGTCGTAGATATTGAAAGGTATTGTCCGTGACCATTTCTTGTACTGATGCAGAGCTGGCTTGGGCCTTCACAGGTCGAGGCTCAGGAATAATGTCACCTACCCACACACTGCATTGACCACAGTCTCAGTGAGTCCCCATAGCTCCAATCCTGTTGAACACAATGTTGGTCCGTTGTATACATCTATCTCGGGTCCAGGCTGCAATGACAATCAGCAGTAGGGCAATGCAGACCTTTTTCTTGCTGTCGCCGGTAGGATTCTTGCTCTTGTGCAATCAGCGTCGTTTCTTTGGTTTCAGCGTAGATTTGGCGTTGACTTCGTTGTCCAGTACATTGTCTACATCCATATCCTCCTCCTCCTCCTCATTGTTGTCCTGTTCCCTCTCTTCCTCTGCATCTACATTCTTGTCACTGTCACCATCACGTTCGCTAACACTCTCATCCTCATCATCTTGTTCTTCCATTGAATCCGCTTTACCGTCGCCACCATATCCTGCAGTGCACACCCCCACCTCTCCTATATCCTTGATATCAACATCCATCATGTCTCCCTCAAGCAGTGTCGTATTCCCCTCCTATATCAGTGTCTCTTCGCCGGCCCTCCATCCGACTCCGACTCAAAACCCCTGTTGTTTTCCATCAAGAGCCATTCGTCTGTCGGATTCTCCTGGATGTCGGTTAAATACACGAAGACCTCTCCCTGAGTATCTGGGACCGCCCAAACGAGTCGACTAGCACTCTGAACAGGGGATGAAGTGGTGCTGGGACCTGGGAATATGATGACTTGCTGGACATCTGGTGGGTCGATTCCGAGTTCCATAACCGCGGTTGCCACGAACCCGGCGGTGTTGATCATACTTGTGGTTTGAAGTAAAATAGTACTACTTTGTTTTACTGACACACACATTGTCGAGTTTCTCTTTCGGGACGACGCATGATGTTTAAGGTTGGGGATTTTACTCATTCCTAGGTCTTTGTAATATCTTATGACTTGGGTTTCTCATCTCAGGGAAAATACTAGCCTCGAGCTAGTTCTTAGGTTTTGCTGGGTTGTCTTAGGTGCTTAGGGTGTCCCTTTCAATGGACTATCAGACTAGTGCTTGTTTAAGCTGAGGTAAAACTTGTGCGGGGAAATCTTATTTTCCTGTCTACTAACTCGGATCCTTATATACTACTTGCTAGCCTTACAGCCAGTAAGTAGAGTACCGCTAAGTTATGTTGGTTTCTATGCTACGGAAGTTCTGTTTCACCGCCTGTACTATATTTCTACAACTATTGCTATGAGGTTGCAATTGGGTTTCTCGTTCTTCATGATGGGTGATGCTAAGGCCAGCTCGGTGTGGTGCGACTTGCAATGTGTAGCGGCGGATGTCTTCACTTTCGGGAGTGGCACTTTGTGGTCCTTCTCGACTATTATGTAACTTACTAGTGTTACAGGCCTCGTTTGGCCATGGTTTCTTCTTGAAACACTCCACATGTGCGATATCCACAGGCCACTTTAAATGGACCATCCACGTTCATCTAAGAAATCAGAAGCGTCACAAAAACGACAAATAGACACATAAAATAAGAGCATTGCGATCGTGATCAGGCGGTCTCGAGTGATCAGGCCGGCACAGAGAAAAAAGACATAGCAAAACATATGTTTACCCCTATGTGGGCATACTAGGTGGTCTGTTTGCGGGGTATAAGATGGGGTCAGTGAACTGTCTGAGCAAAACTGTACTGGCGTGGCCAACTCACCTGTGGTCGATGATCTGTCATGTCATCGATGTTTCTTCTTCACTCCTGTACATTTGTCTCCGTAAATATATCCAGTGGTGTGAAGTCCACCATCGACATGAGTGGAAGGGGGTTGCCTCCGGGTAGAAGGGTGGTGGCAGATAGACACCAATCCTTCAAAACTGCCTGCCATTCCCTCGCCAATTCCCTTGGAAACTCCTCATATTTCGGGGCATCAGAGAGTCAACGGAAGGTGATATAGATCAGTCAATTGTCGACAAAAATGAGGACCGGAGCTGTAGGCGTAGCACCTGAAAATGCTCCATCCTTTGATCTGCACAAGATGAGCGTGGATGACTACGTGATATGTCGTTCCGCTGATAGAAAGCCGGAGGTCTTGTCCGGTGATAATGCCGGGGTAATGTTGATTGTGATCACGAGCGGACTTGTCGATGGTGAAAGCGAGTCAAGGTGCTGAATAGAGGCATATAAAGAGTTGGTGGAGTACCATGACACATCGGCTGCAGAGGGATGTTGGATGTGTCTTGAGTAGTAGGAATTGGGAGGGAGGTGACTGGATAGGGAAGTGGTTACTGTCTGGGCAATTAGCGAGCTGTTCACGAGGTTTTTTTGATAAAGAGGTTCTGAGGAGGTGCCCTACCGATGCTCCTATGCTAATCAATGTTTCAGTCCTATTATTTTGATTTAGTGTCCTCTTTCTGAACTGTCAATTTACTGTGGGGCGTACCTGGTGATGTTCTGTCCATCCACATTGTGTACAATTACATCGGTGAGGATGATCAGGTCCCTCAGGGACTGGCCAGCTGGTGGTAAGTGACGATTAAATACATGTAAGGATTGGACGCGCTGCTAAAATACAGCAGCAATTTGGACTAGAAGGGATGACAAGTGAGTGGGCGGCGACGGTTTGCCCTCCAATGGAGCTGCAAAATTCATGAGGGAGTGACAAGTCATTGTTTAGGTGCTCAGTACCTGTGCTGTATTCATAAGACCTGGCAAACATCCCAGAATGTTCGTTACTTGGCCCAGATTGAGGGAGTTACGTATTTTGGTCTCTTACGTTTCGCTTCATTTCTGTTACGGTCAGTATGGATTGGATCCGACAAGGTTCATAAGAGAATATGAAGCCTTATTCAGGCTGATGAAGTGGAAGGGCGTAACATTGGACAAGGTAGGTTATATATCCTAGTTAGGACCTGTGAATATAGGTGGTGTATTAGCAGGAGAGCAAAGGAGGATAGAAGATAAAATAAAACGAAAGTAAGACATGAAACCAAGAAAGTATCTGTGTAAATCAACCTCGCCGATCTGGGTATACCAAAGGGATCAAGTGTCCTGTAGATGTTCCAATTTATTAGTGGCCTTGAGTGCGATGATGGAAACAAATGAGTAAGTAAAATGCCAACATACCCTTGAACTTTAAGCTTCCAGGTCCGGGACCATCGCAATACTCCCTTCTTCCATCCCCCTTAGATGATTGTGCTCCTCTACGATGGTATCTGGGTGGGAGGGGTGAAAATGAAGCTTGATTGTAGCGCAACTCTTCTTCCTTGCCTCTACCCAGGCCACACAATTGAACTCTTCCCCATATACTGGCTTCATTAACGACTCTTCCCCATCTAACTGCGCAATGACTTTATACGGAAAGACAACAAGGCTGTGGATTTCTATGGTGACATTGGCTTGATTACCCAGACCAAGTGACAAGTCCACTATGATGAGAAGATGTTCTACGGAGAGATGGAAAAGCGCGGGACAGATGTTGTTGTCATTGTCAAAGGTAAAATGGGTAGGATGGCCAGGGAAGATTCCTGAAACACATTTGTATTCGTCGCCGGGGTATAATAAGGAAAATGTAGGAAGTCACAGGCGTAGATGTAAGACCTTTATAAAGGTACCTGCTAGTAAGCAGGGGATCATTCCTCTGGCCCAAGAATTATAAATACCAGTACTGGGCTGACTACTGGGGCGGCTGAGAGGTTATTCTGGGTGACTGAGTGGCCTAGGGTGATGGGGTAGGGCATATGGGGTTGGTCCTGGGGGTAGGGTAGGGGGTAGGGGATAGGGTAGAGGTACTGGGGAATGGGGAGGGTGGGTGGGTATGGTGTATATAGTGAAACAAGCTGGATTATACATGGATAAAATAGGGAATATGGGCAGGGATGATTGTAGGGTCAATAAGGAAAAAATGGTGGCCGATAAAATACGGAAAAATGGTAGAATAATAGTAGGGATGCTAGGGTGGCAACGTAAATTGTGGCCCAATTTTGGCAACATGAAGGAGGTCAATTTTGGGAGTTCTGACTATTTTATAAACATTGATAAATGTATAAGATGGTGGAAATCAATTTTGGAAGGAATTGGCCCATTTGTTCTGAAGGTATAGCGTATACGGTTAGCAAGATATTGCCCTATCGAGGTGAAAGAGGGCGGGCAGGCCAGAACTAGGGATATAGCAGTTTGATTGCCTTGGTTTTTTCTGTAATGGATAGTACTATATAAATACTAGGTGATGGGGAGCACACCGGACATAAAGACAATGATCATGGCCTTGGTAGTGGTGCCATGTCTAGGGGAGGAGGAGGAGAACATCTACCCTAGGGATATTATTATGGTTAGAATGTTTGGTGGTGTTGAAGTGATGATTGGACAATAAAATTTGATATTTGGAAAGTTGATCTACGGTGCAACATCAGTCAAAATGGTCCTGCACTAATTGTGGGGTGCTGTGGGGGTAAAACAGTGTATTGGGCCATAGTATAATCACAGAAACACCAATTTACGCATTTTTGGCACCATTCTTGTTGTGGTAATTTTAGTTTGAATGTATATGAACATCAATTAAGCACCAGAACCGCCGCTGGTGGACAGTAGAAAAAGAAAAACCATGTTTTTAATGAGGGTGCAGGTGCACAGATAGCATCGGGGTCGTAGATGGCCCAGATCACTCTCAAATGCAGTGTGATTGTAGTGTGATGTCAAATGGGGCTAGGATATATTATACTTAATGTTTCTGGGTAATCTACTATGTTAGAACTGGTCTGTGTAACATAGTAAGTATGGAAAACATTGGTTTTTAGCTATGAATAGTCAATTCTGCAGTGTTTAGATTTCCGAATATAATTGAGTGATTTTTAGACAAATCCCCGTTAAAGATAAGCTCTATGTATCAAAAGGTAAACATCCAAAAAGAATTGGAAGTGATCAGCTGGCCTATACCTCTTAAAGTGCACAGGATGCTCATTTGTAGTTTGCAAGTAGAGAGACCCTAGTCAAATGTCAGTAACAGTGTCACGAAAATCATTATGCTCTGTGCTGAAGAGAAGCCGGGGACTGTGTTGGTTGTGGTGGATGGCGAAAGCTCAAATATAATGGAGTAGAGCTGGGATGAGTAAATAATAGTGTTGGGTTCGTATTGGACATGGGCTTCAAGGGGAGCTCAACTAATGATGACTTCCTGTATTGTTTTAGTTTAGGCAGTCGATACATCAACCCCCCCTATTTTTCTTTTTGCAGAAGGACGGTATGATATAATATCACAAGGTCGTCCTGACGCGAATGGATCCCAAGAGGTATGACAACATACCCATAAAAACAAAATATGGCTACTTGGGAGTACCACTAGCAATCATTAATGGAATTGTACCACCCTATAGCCTCTCACTTGTCGCATAAGGTACTCAAACAGAACTATGGACAAAAAAGTCCACAGTGAAGGTCGACACGGTGAGGCAGACCAATAGCTACTGCGTCGCAACTCAGAAGACACCGTCCATGAACTATAAATGATGTTCAGAGGCTCAGATTATTGAGATTTGGCGGCATAACTACCTTATTCTCTTCTTGTAGGACCTTCTGATGTACTTCCTGGATGACTAGGGCTAAGTGAGACAACAAAACCTAGAATGTATAAGATATGACTAAAGCATACCTGTACAGTCATTTACCGGTCCCCTAGACACCCAATTTGTTTTGATTTTTCGTGACCTATTGATCAATTTTAATGGTCACAACCCGTAAGTGGATTCATTAACATAAATGAAAAGGGTGCTTGCAAAAAGTTACAGGCCAAACGAGCACAATGCAAGGTCTACAAGAAAAAAACACTGTGCGAGAAGGCAAAGCGTGACATATGGATCATCTAGACACTGTGAGAGACCGTGAGCCACTATCACACGTGACAAGGAGGCGCGTCGTGTCATCCCCAAAACGTGTCCTCGTCGTCCTCACTCTCAACCACATCGCCTCCTTCCTGCACACTCGACACGTCCGAGTCGTTACCACCCTCGCCGCCGCCCTCTCCCTCTTCAACCTCGTGCTCGATGGATGGCTTCTTCGGCTTAGGGACAGGCTTTTCAAGGGCTTCCCTTTTGGGCTTCGTCCAGCGTAGCTCTGTGGGTTTGCGCTCATCGCGCTCCCTCTCCCATTCTGCCACAGCCACCTTGTGCCGCTGCGTACACCTTTCATTCCTCTTCTTCCTCTCAACCTCTGCCATTTTCCACCTCTCCACTATCTGACCCAATGTCTCCTTCGCAGCCTTTCTGGCCTCCTTCTCAGCTGCCTCCCTTTTCTGCGTCTCTTCATGCTCGATAACCATCGCCACGAAGGCATCTCCCGACAACAGCTTAGCCTTCCCATCCACCATCAACTTCCCTTTCCCTCCCCATCCCTCGGCCTTCTCCTTTGTAGCAAGTTGCCGGCGAACCCGCTCGCAATACATCTGCTGAAGAATGGATGCAGCTTGCTGGCCCCATAACTGCTTCTTCAGGTAAGCTTCTCTGATCTCTGCTTCCTCCAGTGCAACCTTCATAAGCTGCTTGTGCTCACTCTGTGGTTCCATGGTGTATAGATCGGTGTAGCGTGGCTTTACGTGGGAGATGGTCACGGGGTTGATGGTGGGTGGACGAGCGGTTGACCTCATGGGTGAGTTGGAGATGAGGACGGAAGCGGACGTGAGGGCAAGGCATGGAAAGGCATTCCGAAGTGCAGCAGGCACAAGGAAATTGGTGTTATATGTACGTAGCATAGGTGCGTGCTGTCCATCGATGTTCTGGGAGGATTGCATAGCGCCAAGTGCATCTGCGATGGCCTTGACGGGTGAAGATGGTGCTACGGGCATAGCAGCCTGACGTGATGTCTCGTGGCTCAGCGCCATCATTGCGGGTGTGATGACCTGGGAGTTGAATGGCCAGACCCCGGTCTTTGCAAATGCGCTGATGATTGTAGGCTTTGTGAGAGCCTTGAGATGCGCATGCCCGTAGATCGCAAGGAAGTTTGTTTTCGAGACGACCCCGCCTGTCTCGCAAGTAAATTGATCGCGCTCGTCAGACCATGCTCTCTTCAATACGGAGAAGACAGCAATGTCGAGTCCTTGGTAGACATGCGTGCTGGGAGCGGGATAGCATAGGACAACGATCTTATGCTCTCGAGCATATTTGAGAAAACCGCAAGTGTAATGAGAGACGTGGCCATCGACAAGAAGGAGACAATATTGGCCATCTGCTTTTGCTTTGGTCTTCTTGTCGAAATCTTCGATCCATTGTACGCCGATTTTGCCGTCCACCCAGCCTTTCTTCGAATAGCTAATCCTAATGATGTTGAGAATATTAATACTTTCATAGTCTAGATGAATATGTTCAACTCACGAAGCATTGAGGGGATTATCCTGTTTCCAGGATGTTGAATAACTCTGCCCCTGTTACGACCGGGCTTAAGCTAGGCTTAAGGGCGGCGTCGGTTTCGTGAAGCGAGGAACGATCGAGTCGTTCGGCGCCGTCGGCTTGGGCGATCAGCGAGGGGCTTCGGGGGTTCTGGATCCGGGGTTCTGGCTCGGTTCGTCTAGACGTGGCGTCCGGTCTAGAATGGAGTTCGTTCAGATGAGGCGTCCTCTTCTGAGGCAGGCGTCCTGCTAGAGCTGATGTGGATTCGGGGTTCTGATAGTAAAGCTCTTCAGTAGTCGAGATTCGAGGGGTATCGTCTTGAGGTCGCACAAGACGATATTGAGAATTCTGGTGATTTCAACTGAAACACTGTAGGTACGATACAAGTGAACAGGTTGGAGAATCTCGACTACAAAGGTTCGATATTTATACTAGTACAAGTCCGTGTGAATCGCCACGTCATATAGGTCCACCACATCAGCCTAAGAGTTCGTCTACTCCGCCGAGCCAGAGCCAAGCCACACCGCGGTAGTCCATATTCGAACGAGATATCGTGTCCGCAGTCCTTCCCTACGTGTCCAGCCCACTATCGTACGTGTCCGAAGTATGTATACGTGTCCAATGTAAGTATACGTGTCCGTGAGAGAAAGGGATATGTTTATAGAAGGGTTTTAAAGGGATTTCAGTGACCAGGGGTCGAGCCGAAGTCCGGGTGTGCGTCGCCTTACTAGGAACGCGGTAAAGGAAAAGAAAAGAAAAAGATACACGAAGTAACAGAGAAGAAAAAGCGTCCATAACAGCCCCTTGAAGATAACGGCAGGTGCTATGGATGAGCCATCGGCACAGATAGTCACAATAACAGTGATATTCTCTTGACTCCTGCTCCGCTGCTGATACTGACTCTTTTCACCCGCTTTCCCAATTACCCTCTCCTTCTGCCCAGATTCTGGCTGAATCCCTGTCTCATCCGTTGCCCAAGTATCCTCCCGCCTAATATCGAACTTCGCCATTGTCGACCCTAGGAGATCAAAATAGTCCTCATTTGTTGTTGGATTGACGGCACGACCACAATTGGTATGCAATGAGCGAGACCAGCACATGCGGAGGCAATCATCATTCTTCTCGATGAAACGGTAAGGCCACTGAACTCCTACGCTCATTTCTAGAAACTCATCTCCTAAGCGTGCCTTTAGAATCTGGTTTGCATGCTCGCGAAGTAGCCGCGGACTGAGCGGAAACCCTCGTGCTGCGAGCTCGAGAGCATTCTCGATAAGGACATCCGCTTTCTCTGATGTCAATAACGACTTCATCTCGTGCGCCTGCCAAATTGATATCCCCCCATTCACCTGGTTATGCAATGTCTCATGATTGAGCTTTACGGTATCCCCTGTGAGCTTCCTATAGATTTCCTCTACCTCCCTACACACAGTTCGTAGACCTTTCTGCTCACTCGGCGGCTTCTCCTGTGACTCCCGATACATTTCTACAGCCAATGTCATTAACTCATCTTTAATAACACCTGCTTCTTGGTTCAGTTTTGACTGAGTTTTTGCTCGTCTTCCTGGCATTGTTGTAAATGTAACAAGATTTACAAGTAGATGAGCTGGGTAGAGAGATAGGGGATGAAGGTCGAGAGTAGATGTGAACGATAACAGACACAGCCAGCAGACCCTGAGTTTGCACAAGGATAATAGCAGGCGCACCACTCCGAGTGCCACATGTTCCCAGTGTGACAAGCAGTGACTCATGTGAGCTTGCATGTGACACATTGTGACTGTCTAGAGGCCAGCAGGGGTAGGTTCGCATCATTTGATAAATTCTGGAAGTCTTGCCGTGTTGTTCAAGTCTGTTTTATGTCCAATGGATACACCAAATGCATATGAACATATCTCAGACTGCATGAACCACTCTTGTCCTGTCCAAGCCCACTATACTGGCTGTCCATGCATGCTCAAATTTCGAAAACGGGCAATACCGAAGCTTACGAATTTTTTTCCACATGCTTGAGAAACACAGGAGCCAAGAAAAGTACCCAGATATATATTTGCTGTACAGGACTACCCCTCGGGAGCCAGTGTAGAGTTCAAAACACAAAGGAACTTGAGCATTGACAAAAAAAGAGCCAGGTGTCTAGGTGAGTGATGGTGTCTAGAGGACTGGTAAATGACTGTAACGAATACTCGGATAGACTGTGGCTGCGACTACCTGGTTCGACTAGCCGTATGACAGAAAGTGTGCTCTCCATCACTTAGTATTGATATGGGACTATCCATGACAGCAAAAACCAAGGCAATTGAACCGCTATATCCCCAGTTCTGGCCTGTCCACCCTCTTCCACCTTGATAGAGTAATATCTTGCTGACCATTTACGCTATACCTTCAGAACAAATGGACCATTTCCACCATCTTATACATTTATCAATGTTTATAAAATAGTCAGAACTCCCAAAATTGACCTCCTTCATGTTGCCAAAATCGGGCCACAATTTACGTTGCCACCCTAGCATCCCTACTATTATTCTACCATTTTTCCGTATTTTATCGGCCACCATTTTTTCCTTATTGACCTTACAATCATCCCTGCCCATATTCCCTATTTTATCCATGTATAATCCAGCTTGTTTCACTATATACACCATACCTACCCACCCTCCCCATTTCCCAGTACCTCTACCCTATCCCCTACCCCCTACCCTACCCCCAGGACCAACCCCATATGCCCTACCCCATCACCCTAGGCCACCCAGCCACCCAGAATAACCTCCCGGCTGCCCCAGTAGCCAGCCCAGTACTGGTATTTATAATTCTTGGGCCAGAAGAATGATCTCCTGCTTACTAGCAGGTACCTTTATAAAGGTGGTACATCCTCTAGTGCTGCTAGGATGACGCTACGGCAGATAAGTCGCTCGTGTTCATCCCCTTCGGACAGACTGAATCTGTGGTGACTTTCAAGAGTGCTGAGCACCAGAACCTCCTCAGAGATGCCAACACCCAGAAAATAATGGTGAATGATATCAGCGGATCAGTCAAATTTTCTTACCGTGTATTGCAGCTGTGCTGGTCGGTCCACAATGTTGCTCCAGACTCTCGATTGCAGTTCTCACGCAACCATCAACCTCTTTTGCCCTGAAGACTGGGAGAATCAGGTATCACCTATACTTCATCTTGGTTTAAGCAGGCAAAATCATTGCCCCTAGTGGTCAAGAACGACTCCAATGTGTGGACCTTCTGTGGCATGTATAAGGCTGAACTTATTGACATCTTTAAGCCTGTGGTATGGGATGAAGAGCCCAATGAGGTGAGTCACAATTTATGACACACTCTCACTCATGTTGAGACGTGAAACTAATGTTGTCCTGAAGACAAAAAAGTCTTGATCTTCTTTAAAAAAAGTTGAGCTCAAAGTCAAGGACCAGATCGCCTGTGCGTGATTTTACCTCACCTTACGTGACAACGATGAGGCTTCCAGAGAGAAGTGCATGCGGGAATGCCACCCTGGCCGCCTCCCCAGACTTCCGACACCTTCAACCAGGGAAATCTTATACGCCTGGAAATAACATTGGATGGTGAGTACATTACTATATTCATGAGGCTGGACATCGTACCAATGGGTTTTGCGATCAGCTACCCCTTGTTTATAAGCTGACGTATGTAGGGTGGAACAAGCCCATAGTGAAAACAATCAGAGCGAACCATAAACCTGAGACCTAACATGGACTGTGAAGTCCACAATGAGACTCTAAGTACATATGCAATGTTGGGGTGACTTAACATTTTCTTGAGACCTTGACAGTGCAATGGATGGCATTGCTTGCGGGGGAGGGGAAGAGGAGAGTGTGTGGCATAAGGGCCTCCGATGTGGTGGTCGCATGCTGCTGCCGAAGCTCGATACCACCCCGACTATGTACTTTGTAAGCTGGGTTATGCTAGAGAGTGAAAATTTACGCTCTCTGTGTCACTCTTTCTAATGTGCTGTGCTCTGCCGCAGATGCGCTTTCTCCTGATGGGTATACGGTGTGGCACGAAGGTTCAATGCAGTGGATGGAGCAGAGCGAGAGGGAGGGCGAACAATCTCGTCTGAATCTTGGGAGAGTAGAGTGCTGTATTGACTGACTTCTACGACAATATTAGTCCGGTGTTTGGCCGAGAAGGAAAATATAGACGAAATAAATTGTGTAGGTAAATCAAGCGCCTGAGACCAGGAAAGTATAAGGATAAATCAATAAAAACATCAGACGTGGAAAACTATAGCGATCAATGTTGAACTGGGCCTCTGAGCACCTCAATAGGGACAATATGTGGATTTTTGCTGTGCCTATATAATCTTTCCAATTGAAGACGATTGTGAATGACCATTGGCTCGTCAAGGTAGAAGTGGTATCTTGCGAATTGAAGATCAAGATAAGTAAGAGCCCACTGCCCTCCGTATGGAAACACAAATCTAGTGGGAGTCATCTCGAGCACAAACCATTGGAATCCACCGAACCAATGATTGACCTATGCCGCCACGGAAGAGTTAAATAGCCAAACACCTTCTCCAGTCATGAGGTTGGGGAGTCCAGAGGAGTTGCAGTGCCATTGACAGTATTGATTGTCTGTGTTGTATTTGTGAAGAGCGTAGAACGAACACGTTGACAGGGAGACCAACATTGTCAAAGTAGTGATTCTGCGGAGAACATAGGGACTTGAGAAGGCTACAGTCGTTGTCGTAAAAAATATAGCAAGGCAAAGACTCGGGACATTATGGAGGGAATGTTGCCTTGAGAAATGGCTGGTCTCAGAGAAAGATGGAAAGCACAATGAGAAATGCCATGGAAATGATGAAAGTGGGACATGAACAACGCACAATCACGCCCAGTATACCTTTGGACCCAAAGAATGTTGCACGAGACTTGATGATGCTGCAGCAACAGATGAAGAGTTGCTCGTTGTGGGTCCAACGACGATAGATATTCCCCTTACAGGTTTCAACGTGTGGTCGAGATTTGTTGGGCTTTACGCAGTGAGAATTGTGAGGTGGACAAGAGGCTTGAGGTGTTTGAGCAGCGATATTATTGGTATGTGCGACTGGCAGAGAAAAAGTATTTTTAGAGGTAATATTTACAGGCATTGCTGTCAACAGTGTATTATTAATGAGAAGTTATGAGATGATGGTAGACAATGCACCTGAAAGGGGGCCAGGAGAAAGGTATCATTACCTGTTGAAAAGACAGCGGGAGTACATTGCTGAGGCAATCCCTCTATATCTGATAACACCGACATTTTGCTTCCCAGGTGCGATGGCAGGGGTCAATGCACGTCATAAACCCACAGGTTGTTACACCACTGCAACCCTCAATTGCACACTCATCCAAATGTCCTTGATGCGTCTGACAGTACCAATTCCGCCCCTGGATGAGGGGCTCCTGGCAGTTAAGAACAGCACAGTAGGGGAGGTCAATGGTAACACCATCCGTGACCCCCGCGGATATGTAGACTACATGATATTTAATTAGAAATTCATAGTTTAGGATGAAAGCGAGAGGAAGCCTTATCTAATCAGGTATATATGTAGAAACATTACAATATCAGCTGGGATCTCCGTGCACTGACATTGTAATGTGAGCCAGAACCTCTGGCTGCTTCTCAGTGTGGAGCTTGAATTTGTTCCGGCAGAATACCGGAACACTTGGCAATTTCATTTACCAGATGTTCCAAGCCAGAGAAGTCTGAGCCGAAGAGGTCCGTGGACTGATCTATCGGACTGAGATATAGGGTTAGAGGTCTGCACAAACCTTGCGTTGCCCGTGTTGCCGTCAAAGCTAGCAAAGAAAAGAAGCAAAAGAAAGAGGTAGTATAAACGATGTCCCTTCATTCCTCAGGCATCGTAATGAATTTAAAAATCTATAGGTGAGCTCGTGAATTGTGATAATGTCAATGTGATTCTCAATGGGTTGTGGGCGACTCAAAGTCTATCCCTGTGGTTATAGTGTCTACTGCCTCCAAAGCATACATACTCAGTCTACTTGTGCCGGAAAGGCGACTCTGAGTCTACCCATAAGCATCTAATTGGACAATGCAGTACAGAATAAGTAAATATAATTCACCAGTCACCCGGTAAGATGTAATCCTTACCTGTCCATTGGTCTACAAATCCATGAGTTGTCAGCTGTCTTCGTGTTATGCTCTCAGTACAATGAAACACACACGGTCAATGACACTGATCAGGTCATCTATCGATCAGTTGAGCCTATCAGTTCTGCTCGCAAGCGAGAATTATTGGAGGGCAACGTGAATTTTAGGTGCCAAATTGATGGAGCCTATTGACATTTCTCTCCGTTTGGGAGATATTGTATCTGGGCTGTGACTCAAGGTTTTGTACTGAAATACATCAGCTAAACAGGTAATTTACATTATCGAGAGACAAATGGAGGCTGTCCAACTGGAATTCATAAATTCTAGGGCCTTTCTGTGAGGGTGTATAAATTTAGGCTGAATAATCCAGGAAGGAAAATCCTGTTGACTTCAAGGCTTCAAGTAGGCAAAGCAATGAAATCAGACAGACAAAGGCAGTGGAGCATACTGAAGGTGCCACCGACACATGCACATATAAAGGGTTGAAGCCTGTTTTTACAGGCATCTACCGATACATAGTTGACATGCCTGGAGGGTATGACAGGGCTTAACTTGCTCTGGGCAGGTCTATAGGTGACCTGATCAGTGTCGCCGACCGTAAACGCAACTACTCAGTCTGACAGTGATGAGAGTGTATGTGTAATGTAAAGAGAATAAGCAAGAGGTATCACAGTGGTTCTGGAGAACGTTGACGTGACACTTTTTTTTATGTAACTCCTAATTAGGAAATTGTGTCTTATTGTGGGCATTAGGGGCAGATTTGTTAGGTTTCCCATCTTTTGTCCCGTGCTTCTATGCCCCTATTCACATCCTGCACTCTGGCTGACTTCATTGGTCTCCTGCAGCCCAGCAGAGTCCCCATTGAAAGTCCCCATGCTGTCATTTTTGGTCATAGCGACATCGTCAGCAGCACTGTCGCGGCTATGCCAAGGAACAAGAATGTCATGATCACT